CACACACACACACACACACACACACACACACACATTCATGAATCATTTCTAGAACAAATCAACCAGAACAAAAAACACTTTCACTTCTTTGCAGGCAAGCTGCTTTCGCCAGCTCTTCCCTGGGAACTTCTAAGACACAGCAGTCAGTGAATGCACTGTGCAGGAGAAGACAACTTCACCTAAAGTTGACTCTCACCGGCAGGCAGGTGGAGAAAGTACTGTCAACTAATTGTGTGTCATAAACCTGAAAAGTCATCCCCTGCAGCACAGTCTTGCACTGGGTAACTTTTAAATGGCTCTGCATGGCAGTCGGGTGTTTATATAACCATTTTTACCTTAGTCAACAGAATCTCAGTGACATTTGTGTAAAATGCATACTAAAAGCTTGCACTTAAAACCACAGGAGGTCTGGAATGCAAAGATACCAACATGACGAGAGGGGATAACGACGTTATTTTTGTCTAGAGCAGCTGTGTCTGGATTGCTGCTCAGGAGACAGATTTGAATATTTACTGTCTGTGTTAGCATACTTGACAAGTGAATTTAATTTGGGAAAATAATGCATTGTCTTCTGTTGGTGTGCTTTCATTTCCGCTGATTTATCTCTCTTGCGTGGTGTATCTTTCAGCTAGTAATTACCAATATACAGCACATAAGACAGAATCTCCTCCCAACATAACACTCATAATAATGAAACACATGTCTCATGCCCATTCAACAAGCCAGGATGTTTGTAATTACAAGGATAGCTTTTTTGTTAAATCGTTACAACTTTAGTGATATATGTATTTAGATATTTACATAAATTGTTACTTAATTATAGGTAGTTAAAAAAAAGCTATTTAATGATCAGAGTCCCATTATGGAGCCATAACATCGAAATGTCTCGCAGTCGTTTCTTTTCTCCTCAAAGAAGAAACACACAGATCGTGTTATTTTTGAAGGGCACAGTGGTAGCTAGACTTTAATGTCCAGTCGTAGATGTTGATGGAAACTTAACAAAGATGTCAGCTATTACTTACCACATCAATTAGCTGAGCGATAGATAGTCCAAAGTGGACTAGTACTGTATCTGTAGTGTTCCTCACAGGTCGGGAGAGCTTATTGTAATTTGCAAACAGATTCTGGAGCAGCCTCTCTTCAGCGTGGGCACGGGGTCCAAGTTGGAAACACACTGAGGCCAGAAATGAGAAAAAAATTCAACAAAACAAGAAGCTGAGATTAATCGTGTGCCGTCCTGTTTATGTAATTTAAACGAGACCAATTGATCTTTACTTAGAACTGCAACTGCAATGCATAGGATATTCATTCCTACGGTTTTTTTTTTGGTTTTTTTTTTTAACTCCATGGTGATTTGTACCAGTTGATTTTGTGCAGGGCTCTCGTGCATATTCTCATAACCATTTTGAATTGTTTCTATTTTTGTTCACATATTCATGAAATACAGGGCAGAACTTTATACGAATACTATTAATGTTGAAAATATTTGCTTCCATTCACAATACATTCATCTGTAATGGATTGAGCTGATGCTACGATACCAAAGAATACAGAGTGTAATCTAAAAGTAGGGTGACCTCTATTATACAGCTGGCCTATGGTTACATGAGACGGGATCTGAGAGACGGGACAAATCAGGATGGAGGGTTTGGGGTGGGGGGGTTGCATAAAAGGAATAAGAGGAAGGAACAAACGTGCTGATGGAGCGATTTGTCCAGACGTTTCCCTCACCACCCTCCTCCACCCACCCTCCACTCTCTCCCTCTCCCTTTCTTCCTTTCAACAGCCGTCCTGATGAAGCAACTCAATCAGATCCCTCGGCACTGAGAAGGACCCGGCGAGGTCTGGGGACAATTAAAGAGAAAGGGATGATCCTGTGCCTTCGACAGGACGACGTCCTTTGCATTTTGGTTCTTTCCTTTTACATTCACTTGGGCACTTTTCCATTATAAACCTTGTTGCATCTGTGCAGGTAATTCATTGTGTTTGCAATCTTTCAGAGGCAGTGATTGATTTAACTGGCCTCACTGATATTTTATCATCTCTAGCAGTACCACACAGTTCAATGTCTTTCTTTCTCTTTGGATTTAATTTGTTTTGTCAAATATCACATGAAAAAAATAATCCTAAAGAGGACCCTTCCAAACTAGATTCTTGTGGTTTCTGGACAACATTAATATATTCGCCAAACACACTTGCTTGGCTCAGGCCCCTATAGAAAGGACGTGAGAGGACCTTTCTATAGGCTTCCATTAGTAACTTCCACTTTTCTAAGGCTATATTATTCCAAACGCCCCTTACTTGTATCCTTAAAATAGCGATACAGGTGTTGTTGCCATGCTGCTGGCCTTCCTCTTGGGTCCTTCTACCCACTCAATCAAAGTTGATGGGCTGTCTTTCAGTTGACTGAAAACTGGCATCCACTATTTTTAAAAGCTTGGGATCGATATCTTATTAAATGGATATAGTTTCTTTTTCCTTTCATGTCTTGTCTTCCTGTTTTCACCTGGATCTGTTTGACATTTCCAGACACCCAACAACCTTGAAATGCTGTTACACGTTCAGACGAGAGAGGCCGTCAAAGGTGGCGTTTGTTTTATCGCATCAAATTCTAGCATTATCTGTTGAATGCGACCAATATTAAACTAAACCGGAGGCTCAAGTACATTCTAAATCAGCCTTGGGACTAATGGGTTTATATGGGAGAGCTCACAGGGTGTTGTGACTTTGGTAAAAAATGCAGATTAGAGCAATAATCTTTGCAGGGAAAAGTAGGCAACTGTTAGATGAGTTTACTTCTACATGGTGTGTTCTCCATTACACTATGAATAAGACTCATGCAGACTGTGATGATGCCAGTGTCTGTCACTCGTTATCGTGAAGTTTTTCTTATATTGCTGTATTTTACAGTTTTCTGAAGCTACAGCAAAGCCTGATGAGTTATTTGGACGTGTCAGAGCTAATGGGTCCAAATCTGTCCTCATCTGATCAATGCTGTCTCATAGGACAGTATTGCATCAGAAGCAAATTAGTTTTCACTCAAGTGAATACTACACTTGAACCAGGCAGATGAAGCTTGTTACCAGGCTACAAAGCTCGCGTAGCAACACAGGCAGTTTCTACCCTTCAGCAGCAAACTACAGAAAACAAGTTTTTTTGTCCCAAAGGTCGTGTGTTTTTATGGTTGTATTGTTCATTGTGCCAAATTAGCCCTCAGCAAAAATCATTGCCTGTCTAATAAGTAATGAGACTGGGGTGGACTGAATATAGATGACTGGGGTAAGGAGAGAGGCTTATATTAAATAGAAAAGCAAGGCCATCTGATGCCTTTCAGTCGTTTCTCTGAATTGCCCTGCTATTTAGGGCAAATCTATTGAAAGGGCAAATCTATTGAAATGGCACAAATACAGGCAGTTCTTTTGAGTCATGCAGTAAATTTCTTTGTAAGCCAACTTTGTTGATGCTGATAAACTTGACCAGCGTGATATTTTAAACAGAAAAAAGAGGAGTGGAAAAAAATCTAATTTGAGATGATTAGTAGCTAAAAAACCCCTCCTCTTTCAATATATACTTCTGCCTTCAGCAAAAATGAAAAATGCATAAACATCCTTCGCATCGGTTTCCCCTATGTTGAAAAATAAAATGACAGATGATGCAGCTTTAATGACAGCACGGTGGAATTATTTACCTTGTGGAGGAAGAGTGAAGAAAAGTAAGCTCAAACATTTGTAGAAATCCATAGTGATCCAGCAGTACCCAACTCTATCAGTGAACTCCCTCCAACTTCTGCTGGATTTCAGTCATAGCAGAAGTGATCAAACCTGGAAAGTCTGCCCTGTGACAGCAGGTCGTCAAGGGGTTCAGATCAGGTTAAACACCCAGACGCAGAGGTCACGTCAGTCTGAGTCAACCCAGGGTCCGGCGGTCCTCCTGATTCCATCTCTCCATCTTTTCACAATCTCTTTTGTCCAGTCATAGCAGTATGAAGGACCCACAGACACATAGTGTAGTTTTTCTCATCCAACACTTCAAAGTCCCTCCTCCTCCTTCCACTGGAATCCTTCATCCAAGTGTGGCTGGCTTATCCTTCTCTTCTCCACCCTCCCTGTCAACATTACTCCCTCCCTCGCCTCTCATCTCTCCGCCTCCTCACCTCATCTCTCCCTCTCTCTCTTTCTCTCCCCCCTCTCTCTCTCACACACCTCATTTCTCTCTTTGTATTCTATCTTTCCCTCCTACTTACATATTTCTTTTTCTCCCTGTTCCAGTTTTCTCTTCTTCACTTTTTTCATTGAAAACAGAACTTTTTGTCAGTCTCTTTCTCTCTCT